AATACAGCCTGACCAGCGGACATTCAATACCAGTGCCAGATGGCCTCACAGATTGTCAATGTGTCAATTGTCTAGGGGAGACTCTCGCTTCCCGAAAGTGTCTCCACTGCAAGAAACTGACAGTGAGAACAAGGAAGGCTAAGGACTCTGACTAAAACATCTGATGATGGAAAGATCCCTCAACCTGCCTCTGATTCTGAGTCCAGGATATCATGTGGCCAGTGCTTTCCTGCAGTTACCACATACATGGGATCTTTTTTTAAAATGGCACCTAAGGATCCTAGTAATAAAAAAGCCACAAAAATATGGTCTCACTCTTCACAATACTGTGATTCACCTTAAAAAAAATTTCCAATTGCAACGTCTGCCCTGGTACCAACAGCACTGGGATGAGCCTTCTGATATGGAGACACCCCATGGAGCAAAAGACCCTTGCAGTCTAGCTCTCACAGCAGCACTCATTGCAGCCCCCTAGCTCAGTAGTGAGGGAACCTAAGAAACATCAACCATTGAGCAGTGCTATGGTGCCACATGGCACACCAATACAATACAGCAAGTCTGAAGCATCAGCAATCGTGATTCCCAGTCAGAGTTTGCCTCTGCCATTGGTATTCAGTGCCGCAACAGTTTGTCAGCCAGGTGGACCTTCTAATTTCTTCCACTTCAGGAACTCCGCTTTTCAGCACTGACGGTACCTCAGCCAGGTAAGGGCCAAGATTTACACTATGCCCACTGGCTCAACCCCTCATCTCTCTAGGGACGAAGAAGAAGTGGAGACAGTAATGGGCACTCCGCACCACTCTTCATCCAAACCTGTATCTTCACGGCCACAGGGCACAGTTCAGCAACTCCCCTGCCTCCTCGTACCAATTCAGGACAGGCATAGAGGGTTTTATTCACACTACTTCCTCATTCAGAAGAAAACTGGTGGATGCAGGTTTATTCTGGACTTGCAGAAACTAAACAAGTTAAGAGCACAGCACTTCGAGATGGTAACCCTAGCAATTCTGGCATTGGAGAAAGGAGATGAGCTCTCAATTAAAGGATGCTTGCTTTCATGTCACAATCCACCGAGAGCACAGTATGTTCCTACGATTCACTGTTGAGAACCTGCATTACTAATACAGCGTACTCACCTTCAGCGTAGCCACAGTCCCAAAAGTATTATGTTTGTTGTGAAGCATACCAGGCTTCATATGTGATGTCTGCAAACTTGGCTACACATTGTTCTTTACAGGCACTCCTTCAACAGACATTTTACAGTTCTTAAAGTGAAAGTATTGATCACATGGTAATCAACACAAACGTTTGCACGGGTGTTCCATTCCAACAGGAATCACCGTCAATCATGATCATCACAGAAGCCTCTAGTAGGATGGGGGGGACACTTGTCTGATAACACAGTCCTGGGCCATTGGTCCCTAGTGAAATCTAATCTTCAAATAAACCTTCTAGAGCTATTTGCAGTCTAAAATGCTTTCCATCACTTTTTCTCCTCCTTATTTGAAACAAAACTGTCCAAAATATCACTGAAAACTTGATGACTGTTTTATATAAATCATCAAGGGTAGAGGCCCCCAATCTTAGTTGCTCTGTACAGAAACAGTTCACCTCTGGCAAGGGTATATCTCCAACAACATAGACATCATGACACACCTTTAAACCACTATTGACCTGCTCCTTCCTACACTTAATGCTGAAGGTTGCCTTTTTAGTTGCTGTCACATCAACAAGAAGAGTAGGAGAGTTGAGTGCCCTAATGAGACATTCACCCTATATCACATTCCTCAAGAAAAAGTATACTTACTCCTACACTCTAAATACTGAATCTGAAGCAGAATACAGGACTATGTAGCACTTTAAAGACTAACAAGATGGTTTATTAGATGATGAGCTTTCGTGGGCCAGACCCACTTCCTCAGATCAAATAGTGGAAGAAAATAGTCACAACCATATATACCAAAGGATACAATTAAAAAAAAAGTGAACACATATGAAAAGGACAAATCACATTTCAGAACAGAAGGAGGATGCAGGGGAGAGGAGAGGAAGGTAAATGTCTGTGAGTTAATGATATTAGAGGTGGGGAAGGTAGATGTCTGTGAACTAATGGTATTAGAGGTGATAATTGGGGAAGCTATCTTTGTAATGGGTAAGGTAGTTGGTGTCTTTGTTCAACCCCCCACGGAGAGTGTCGAATTTTAGCATGAATGACAGTTCAGAGGATTCCCTTTCAAGTGCAGATTTGAAAGTCTTCTGGAGTAGGATGCATGTAATTAGGGCCTTTGGTATATATGGTTGTGACTATTTTCTTCCACTATTTGATCTGAGGAAGTGGGTCTGGCCCACGAAAGCTCATCATCTAATAAACCATCTTGTTAGTCTTTAAAGTGCTACATAGTCCTGTATTCTGCTTCAGATTCAGTATAGTAGCTGCTCACAATTTTCTCTAACCTCAGTGAAATTAACCCCATGGTCAGCAATGAACATTACAAGAATCTTGTTCATTTCAGTTGTCTGTAACTTAAGAAATTGAGTTGTAGCAGAAAAAGGCACTGTAGTTTGTATTGTTTGCATTTAAGAGACATTAAAGTCAGATGTGTTAGTGTGAATGTCTTAACCATTTGGTAGCTGAGAGAAGGACATTGTGCAAGTCCCTCAGGGAACCAGGCAACCTTTGTCAATGGATTCATTCTGCAGATATGTGATCTACATCTAAATGGCTGCAGCCGCAAAGGGGAGAGTTGCAGAGCCCTCACTTAGTTATTTGCAGCTATCATGACCAGGTATCCCAATATTAGGGGCTTTGTCTTCTGTATGCAATATTCTACTCCCCTTCCCCCCCAAAAAAAAGTGTTCCAGTTTTTCACATTTGCTATCTGGTTATCCTGTTGTAGCAGATCACATCACTCTGCATCTGAAGTAATTTCCTACAGGTGGCATGGAAAGTCAAAACCAGTGGCTGGACCATTGAATCTATCACAAGATAGGCACTATGTTTGAAGCTTGTTCTTGCCACCTAGTATGCCGTCTGGTCACGGTGACATTGTGATCCCCTTAAATGAATTGTTCAAATGGGGTGCCTTGAACTAATAATTAGGTGGTGTAGTGGATTAGACCTATCTTTAAACAGGAGTAGATGGGCATGTCTTGCACCATAAGAGACCGATTCTACAAGACTTGTTGCCTGATGTCAGAAGAGGCAGTGTTGGACAGAATCAGCTTCCAAGCCAGGCTGGCTGGTCTCCTAGTACCAGTTATTCTGTGCCTAGTTTCATTGAGCTGTGTGTCCATTAGATCAGTGTCAGACGAGCTGAGCCATGCTGAGGAGCAATACTCTGCTACAAAAGAGCTCAAGATAAGCTCAGAAATGCTTATTGTGTATGTATTGACTCCTCAGGTTGAAGCATTTTGTTCGCTGATCAAGGTGTTTACTTTAATTTTCAGCAAAGTCTTGGTAAGGTATTCCTTGAATGTCAAGTTGAGTCCAGTGTAACATCTAATTACAGTTTTTTGATCATGGTCTAGCTGGTGGTCATTCAGGAAGATATTGAGTTGTTTGATTGGCCTTGAATGGTTTAAATGAAAATAGCAACTGCATTTAGGACTTGACAGAAATCCTGATCCTGCACTGCCAGAGAGATGTCTGCATAGATAAAACACTTGGCAGTGGTGTAGGAAAGGTCCTTTGGGAAGAGATTCAAATATGTTGTGATAAAAATGGTCTACCTCAGGATTTAGTTCTAAGACCTGTAGGAGCTGGGGAGTGTGTATTTTTTGTCCAACTGAAACTTGGAGCAAGTGGTCTCTCAGCAGGAGTTCTATAGCCATGATAATATAGTAGGATCAATAAAAGTTTGTACAGTAGGCCTGTATGCTGGATCATGTCATGACCAGCAGGATCTAGAAATACTGCATGTTTTCCGCTTGGTGTGGAAGGCGTTCTCAGTGTAGAGTTTTAAATGCCGACAATTACAGGTACTATGGTTTGGTCTGAAACCTACTTGATTTGCACATATGATACCATCAGTTTGGGAGGCTAGTCTTTGAAGGATAATCATTTCAAGCAATTAGTGTATACAACTTAACAAAATACTGGAATTATTCATGAGATAGGCATGAAAACATGTGCATCTCCTTTCTAGCTACTAAAAGAGGGCAAAATGAAGGACAACATATTGATCAGGCATCTTCTTGTTTTAGGTTGATACTAAGGGTAGATTTCCCCCACCCCTGAGCTATTTCTTCGGAAATCTGTCTAATAAGAGAAAGGAGCACCTTCACTGTTCTCAGCAAACTGGGGGAGGCTGAGTTTCACCAAACACTCTGAATTCACATTTACAGACAGAAATTATGTGATTCTATCTGGGGTGTGTGTATGTGTGGTACCTTTTATATTGTTTAAATACTTTTAAGTATGCTACACAGTCCCTTCTTCCTTTACCAAGTATGCTGTCATTAATCTTCGGTTACTAACCATTGGCTTTTTCTGGCTCCACTTGGGTGCAAAGGTGGAGACAGATCCCATTGTTGGCTCAGAACTAAATTGGCTATGAAAGGCATCAGATTGCTTGGTGTAAATATTTGATTTAGCTTGGACTAATGGTATTATTCAGTGAACAGAAAGCACCCTCAAGTTATGTAACCAGTCAGACTACGTCATATCACCAAGCTATTAATAATTCACTAATTCAAATACTTCATTAATTTCACTTCTTTTGCCTTCTTCCTGCTCAGCTCATCTTAAGGTTAGGAATTTCGGCAATTTGTCTTGGACTCAAGTCTTTCACTTAGCAGAGTATTGTGCTCCTTCTCAGCAACCTAGTGACTATTGTCTGAAGTATGGGGTCTTCTGTTTGCTATATAATAATGTTTTCTTAAATTGCTACTCACAATAGTGATTTGTCTCATTTTGAATTGATTATAATGGTACTTATTCCATTCCAATTTGCATTTATTTAATAGTAGAGTTATGAACATCTCTATTTTTTTCTTCTTAGTGTCAAATCAACAGTGCCTTGACCTCCTTTCATACCGCTTTGGAGCTTGCAACAGATCAGAGAGAGATCCAACATGTCTGTCTATATGAAATTGGTAAATAATACAACTTCAATACCATGTACATATTTTGCATGGAAATTATGATTAAATAACACCATTGTATACACTAGCTCTTTCTAGTTAAGGTTTTATGATTATGTGATGCCTTAAAAGTTATTAAATGTTGAGTGTCTTAATTGCATGGATTGTTAATAATGCTCCTTCCTATGATTTCTTAGTTGCCTATTGGTTTGTAACATTTTAGGACTGCATGATCTTTGAACATACAACAGATATACAATCTGTAGTACTCCATGATTTTCTATATGTAGAAGCTACCATAGAATCAAGAGCACAGTGTACAAATTAGAGCCAGCTACTTTTTACTCTGCCTTTTTAAAATTAAGGCTTTAGTGTCCACTCCTTAAGACTGAAAGCCTGCTTCTGTCCATTGCCATTAAATCAATGATTCTATGCCAATGATTAACAATCCTGCTGGTGCTTCAGAGCTGCCAGGGCTTGCATATACATGTCTATTGCCTTTTATTAACATGTAATTCAACAATTAAAGTTTGGAGATCTCACACAGGGTTGTTTTTTTTCTTTCAGTGTAACTCTTATGATTAGCAAAACTAAGAGCAAGCTACTCTAATGCGTAGGAAGGATAGGAAGTATGGTGAGAGACCATCCTTGCTTAATCATAAGATCTTCAGTTATCTGAAACTCAAGAGTTGTACAAAAAGTGGAAACTAGGTCAAATGGCAAAGAATGAAGAGAAAC